AGCAAACTGAAGCTGTTAACAATTTCAATCTCTTCACTATCTATCATGATGCTACCAATCAGCCTAGTGGTGAGAATCTTTGGGTTTGTTTTTTTTTTATGTTGAGCTTCAATCCACATTGAAGGCTACAGTTCTTGACCTTCTGCAGCAAGTGCTTTAGTGACTTTCCGTTTCAGCAAGCAAGTTTGTGTCATCTGCATAATGCAGATTGTTGATGAGTCTTCCTCCAATCCTGATGCCAGTCTTTTAAAAAGATGGTAACACTGGAGCTTTATTTTCACTTCATATATTTCACAAAAAAATAAATAAAAACGGATCACATATATAAAGGCAAAAGCTATATTATAACACAGCAGAAAAATATTTGTTACTTTGCATTAAGCAAATATTTTTAGATATACATGAATGGGCTGGCAACACAACTTTTTAATCAGGACTTTTTACACTTGTTGTGTACCATCAAGTCAGAATTGACCTCCAGAGGGTTTTCAGAGGCAGTTAATCGCACAGGAGAAGATTGCTCATCTTTCCCCCACGGAACAACTGGTGAATTAAAAACACATGCCTTCAGGATTGCAGCACAGCTTCTTGCCACTTAGGCCACCAGTGCTCCCTATGAAGCATGCTAAGATGACTAATATAGTAACATTAGCAAGTGCTGAAAAACATGTGGAGTACCTTGCAATTTCAAAGACTTGGAGGGGAAATACAAAAATGGTACTGACATATAGCATAAACTTGCTAGTTTTTATAAAGTTAAATATAGAATTACCACTTGATGTAGCAATCCTGTTCCAAGGTATTTACTCAAGAAGCACATGTCCACACAAAGACCGGTGCCAGATATTTACAGAAGATTTATTCATCTTTACAAAAAGATGGAAGCAGCCCAAATATGCATACACATATGCACATGTGTACAAGCACACATAACGACATATTAATCAGCAATAACAAGCAACAAGCTACCAAATACACGCAGCAATACAACTGACTCTCAAGAGCTAAGTGAAAGAGTCCAGACACAAAAGTCTACATAGCTTATAATTCCATTTATGTGAAATCCTTGAAAAGGCAGAATTACAGGGGTGGAAAGCAGTGAGTGGAGTGAGGCTGAGGCAAGTTGTTGGCTACAAGCGACCTGAAGACAACTGAGGTTTGTGACACAGCAATGAGATTAAGATGAGGTTGGCTTGACTGCTTTATTTGTCACTGTTTGTTCAGATTGTACACTTTAAGTTACAAGCTTGATTGTGTGGAAATTCCTTTATAATTGACCAGAAAAGTAAAATGGACAGAAGTCAGATGAGTGGTAATCAGAGGTTGAGGAAGATGGGGAAAAAACCTGACAAATAAGGGATGCAAAGGAATTTTTTTACGTGATCGAAATGATCTATATTCGATTGTGGCAGTGGTTACACGAACATACAAATTTGTCAAACTTACCAAACTGTATGTTTTTAAAAGATTAGTTTCATGCTTTGTAAATAGTAATACTTCAATAAATCTGCTCCTAAATAAATGAGTGAGTGAGCAATTATTCAATGAATGAATTCAATTATTCAATGAATGAATGAATGAATAAACAAACAAACAAACAAACAAATAAATAAATAACAGAACAATGTGTGAAGGAGTCCTGCAGAAGCAGCTTATCACCCAAGCAGCTTTCAATTAGCCATTTTCCCAAAGGAAGTAGGGTGATACTCTGAGAAGTACCAAAGTATACCTAAATAGTAAGACTTTTCTGAATAAAAGTCTGACGTACCTTTTTAAATAAGATTCCTACTTTCTTCCAGTCTGTGGCTTCTCTTTCCATTTCCTTAAGAGTGGCTTTTAAAGAACAGTTGTTCTAACAATAGTGAAGTTCAACTTACTAATTATTAATTTGTGGTTTCTATTTTTTTATGTCTTATCTAAAAAATTCTGTGATAGAATAAAGACAGCAAAAGAACTGCACAAGGTAAATGTGGAAGCATACAGGGCCCCCACCAGCACACAAACTATCTTTGAAATTATCCCCCCGAAAGAAACATAATGTACATGAAGATACAGAAGGATATGAAGGAATTATGCTATTAATCACTACAGATAAAATCATCAAACTGAAAAGCATTGCAGGATTTATTTTTTATTTCTGATAAGATGAATAAAATTCATTTTCTAACATCATGACTAATAAGTTTAATAAGAGTTTAAGTTCACCTTTTAAAAAGGCTAGTTTAAAAAATTCACGTGATCAACACTGAAAATACTTAGGAAAAGTATTACCTCTATTTATTCTTTCTAATTTAACTTGTATTTCAACAAAGGTGTATCTAGCTTAAAATGTTATTTAACATGATGAAATAACATGGGAGATACTGCAGAGCATTATGCTGGGTGAACTAATTCAGTCTCATAAGGACAATTGCTGCATTAAGATAATTTTTGTAAAAAATAGAAGAATAGTAAAATGTGCATAGGGGTCCAGAGATAGAAGGGGTGAGAGCAAAGGGATGAGGATGGGTAGCTGGAAATCACAGGGTCACACAATATGATTTGTGGAGGGAAAGGGTAAATGAAATGAGAAAGATCCAATGGGGACATGAAAAGATAAGGTCATGGTGGGCATAGTTCAATGATGAAGTGTATGGGAAAGATTGTATGAAACACAATGTGAATGAAGGATAGTATGAAACACAATGTATACAAGTTTTGCAAACCAATATAAAATAAAAATTAAAATTTGCTTGTAAAAGAAAAAAAGAACATTTAGTACTAATTTCCTTTTTATGTATTGAAGAGGCCCTGAGACATTATGTGTATCTGTTGTGTGTTATCTTCATGGCCATCCCGCAGTCTTGGTGATACAAAGAGGTAACACAACTGGCTTGCTATCTGGAAGACAAGCAATGCGAGACCACTCAGCAGAGCCTCCAAAGAAAGTGCTGGGCATCTTAAAAACCAGACTGTCCATTCGTTTGTTGATGGGCATGTGGTTTGTTTTGCTTCCATCTCTTTGCTGTTGTAAATAACACAGCAATAAATATGGGTGTTTGGACGGCAGTTCTGGTTTCTTTAGGGTATATTCCCAGTAGTGGCATTGCTGGGTCAAATGGTATTTCTATTTCCAAAACAATGAACTTGTAAAACATTACACAACATGGGGAACCCTGGAGCACATCATGTTGAGTGAAATATCTTAGTCACAAAAGGACAAATACTGCATAGCACCCCTGTTATAAAGCAGATCCGACATGGAGAGTTGGGAAGAGAAGATGATTAAGAGACAATGACCGTTGCACTGGAAAAAATGAAGGAAAGAAATATAAAATATATATATTTATATGTGTGTGTATATGTGTATATATATATGTATATATGTGTATATATGTATATGTATATATGTATATATATGTATATATGTGTATATATATGTATTAAGGAATATATAATTAGACACTACACATACAACAGAGGTACATCATAAGAGGTACAGTAAAGAGGACTGGGAGGATGGGGGAAGGGAGGAAACTGTGCAACAATGAATGAATATTTTTTTTAAAGTGACCTGGGGGAGGAGGAAGGGAGGGAGAGGGGGTAAAATATGCAACGATGAATGAATGAAAATCTAACTTCTCTGTAAACATTCATTAAAATAAAATTTTATAAGAAAAAGCCCCCAGACTCTGAAAGGCCCGCAGAGCTTGGTGCCACTTCGCACACAAGGAGCGCCGCAGCCGTGAGTCAAGGGTTCCTCAGCAACGGCAGAGGGGGTACGCCCTGACTCTACTACGACAGGCTTGTCGGGTTCCTCCTTCCCACCCAACCTTCCACCCAGTGCTCACAGTTCACCTCCCAGCCTTCCCTCACAGCTGTGACACACTTAGAACTCAAAGCATCACAAATACGGCAACATCCTCCACTGCTGAGCGTGTGTAACACGGGGGATACTTCTTTTCTGGGTCTGTTTCCTTCAAGCCAATGTTTATCTTGTGGTTTTATTTCTTGGTTTTTTTGTTGTTGTTGTTTTTTAAATATGTGATAGACCTCCCTTACTGCCAGTCTAGACTTCTTTATTCTTTCCATGTATAAGTGTATTGTTGTTGTTGTTGTTGTTAGGTACTCTAGAGTCAACTACGACTCACTGCACCCCTATGAACAACAGATCTGGACCTGGCTCTACGCTGCTTCGTCTTCACCATCTCCACCCTGCTCAAGCCCATTGTCACGGTCACTGGCTCATCTTGTTGACGGTCTTCCTTTCTGTTGCTGACCCTCAACCTTTCCCCAAGAACTGGTTCCTCTGGAAAATATGCCCAAAGTAAGTGAGGTGAAGTTGAACTATCCTTATCTCTGAGGAGTACTCTGGTTGCAAGGCCCTCAAGGCAGGTTTGTTCGTTATTTGGCCGTCCACAAGCCACTCAGTTATTGAGCCACAACAATCAGTCTTCCAGAGTCTAAAATTGTGTTGCTATCATGTGCTCTCCTGCCCTCCTTGTTCACATATAACTCTTTAACTAATTGCCATGGAGTCAGAACCAACTCATAGCTGACCCTCGGGCCAGTTTTCAGAGCCCCTTATAAGTCCCAAGGAAGGAGGGTACCTATCTTACTGTAGAGCAACTAGTGGACACGAACTGCCAGCCTTTGAGAAGGCAGCGCAACCCCCTACCGATTAGGTCATCAAAGCTCCACAACTGCATCCCATTCCTGTCCTTTGAATGGTGTTTCAGGAGTGAAGGGTGACTGGCTGCCTCATGAGGCAGAGGCCTCTCCCCATGGCAGGAAACGGCCATCAGCAGAGAGGAGGCTGGGCGGGCTCCCCATCCAGTAGGACCGCAGCCCAGTCATGTGGTGCCATCTAACTCTATATAGGCTGCCCTGCCAGAGCTTGGTACCCGCTGACCAGTGCAGACCCCATATATCATGTCTTTGGAGAAGACGCCTACTTGGTTAAACCATAAATTGACATCAGGACTACCCAAGGAGAGGGCAGTCAGCTGAGGTCCTCTTACCTTGATGGAGCTGAAGCAAAGGACGTGGAGGACAGCAGCAGCCATGAAGCTCCGGGCCACACCATACACAGCCGACAGCACCCCAGACACGGCTACGAGGCAAACACCCGTGGTCAGGCCTGGGCGGGACCCGCAGTGTGAGCTCATATTAGAAAGCAGGGCGGAGCCGCAGCAGCTTGCACACATGAAACTCCTGCAGTGCACTGGCTGAGAGCGAGCCTGGGAACACTGACCAGTGAGCCCACACTCAGGAGGGATGCAGGGGGACCAAAACATTACCGCATTCCTTAGGAACCCTTTGAATCTGGTGGGGCTGATGTGGGGTATGAAAGGACCACAGAAAGCAGTTTAACGACTGACTAATTGCCAGTGAGTCAGAATCCACTCACAGCTGACCCTCCAGGGGCATTTTGGAGGCTGTAAATCGCATGGGAGATTTCCCATCCTTCTCCCACGGAGAAGCTGGTGGATTTGAATCACCCACCTTTGGGTTGGCAGTGCAACTCCTTACCTCTAGGCCACCAGAGCTCACTGGCAATTTCAATAGAAGGAGAAAATTAGAGAAACAGAGACAGATCTGCACAGGCTTCAGGCATACTGTCATCTCACATACTATAGGGCACCTGCGTGCATGGGTCTGTGTGTCTGCACGTCTCACAGGTGGTACCGGTAACTGAGCACCAGACAGCCATCCCACAGGCAGGGTTTTCACACCCGGCTAAAGAAGAGCATCCTCACCAGGTAAACAATCTCCTTCAAGTCTCCCAATAAACATTCAAATCCCGCTCAGTCTGCATCTGATAGCAGTAGGCGATCTTGTCCGTAAGGCGCACATACACACAGAGTCCACACTCGATGTCACACACAAACGTCCTCTCCTTCACTTTCACAAACACACTGTCAGATGACCTTCTCATAGACATGCTCACACACTTGCACTCATTCACGTACATGGAATGTTTTTCTGAACCATTGTTAGAAAGACCATGCCGATTGCAAAGCCCGAGGGTTTATGTCCCCAAGTTGCTTTAGCTGTGCCATTGGCTGTGTGAAGCTAAACAGACTGCTACGAATTGTGCACAGCAAATCTGCACGAGCCCACAATCAGCCTGCTGCACCAACGCTGGGGTTGTTTGAATGCTCAGGAAGAAGGAACGACCCTCCAGGCCCCACAGCCCCATCCAGGCTCTAGGCTCCATCACAGGAAGAGCAGAGCATAAACTACTTACCGGAACCTCCGAAAAACAGCATGTCGATCTGTTCCAGGAGATAAATGCAGAAAGTGTTGATCTGAGGGAAAAGCCCAAGGAGGGAAATGGCAGGGAAGCAATATAAAAATGCTGTAAACGAAAAAGCAAAATTGACAGTGAATTCATGGTTCCTGCTGCAGACCTTCCCCCTTTACTGATGACGCCTTCTCTCCATGGGGTGCTGGTGGTACGTTACATGCTTTTACCAGAGGAACCCAAGATGTATGGGAGTTGAGAAGTAGCTAGTTCCAAGGAAATCAGGGCCACATATCCAGAACTCCTCACTGTTCTCAAGAATAGTGAATAAGAGAGCATACTGGATTTGACTTTGAGAGAGTAGATATGAATCGGGGCGGGGGGGGGGGGGGCGTGTTGGTTGGAGCGAGGTTTGGAGGAAAGTTCTGCAGAAGCTACAACACCAAAGCAGAGATGAGGACATCTCCCTCCGTGAAGAGGTGAGCAAAAATTGGAGATAAGGCACTTTTATGCTTTACACTTCTATAACCTCGTTGTTGTTGTTGTTGTTGTTGTTGTTGTTGTTGTTAAGTGCCGTTGAGTCGCAGGCGACTCATAGTGACCCTATAAAGGAGAGTCCTCAACACTTGGGTGCCTTACATCCTCTTTCCAGGTTCATAGGGTTTCCGGAGGCAAGCTATTATGGAAAAGGATGCCACTCCTCCTTCCAAGTTTGTTTTAATCAGAGAGCTCCACCCCACACCTGTCTGCACTGGGTAACCAACTATTAATTCACTGGACATATCAGTGTCACAATGTTCAGCCTCACAGCAACCACAAGTGACCGCTGTACAGCAAGCGGACACACCAGGGCTATACGACCTCAGGCCTGAGGGCTGCGGATTACGTTTGACTAATTGACTAATCAGTCTATCAGTTTAAAGACTATGAGGTGCCTGATCCAAGCCCCAGGTCTTTTCAATTGCTTTGCATGTATCTGAAAGTTAGACAGTGAATAAGAAATACCAAAGAAGAATTGATGCTTTCGAACTGTGATGTTGGAAAAGCATATTGAATATCCCATGAATTGCCAAAACAACAAACAATGGCGAAAAAACATGGAGAAAGTACAACCAGGGTGTTGTTCCCCAGTGACACGGATAGTGATCCTTAGGTATGTTGTCAGGAGGAGGTAGGCCTTGGAAAAAGACATCATGCTGACAAAGGCAGAGGGTCAGAGAAAGAGAAGAAGATCTTCAATGAGATGGATTGACATGGTGACTGCAGCAATGAACTTGAGTATGACAAAGATGGTGTTCATAGGTCCTCTAGGAGTTGTAGTAGACTCAGTGGCACCTAACAACAACTCTTTTCTCAGCACTGGTCCGATATTCAGCACTGAGTCAAATTCCCACAGAACAGTGAGGGAATGGGGCAAACAGCTCAGGAACGAGGATGCACTGAGGAGACAGGCAACCTTCCACAATCACAGCAGTAATGTCCAACTAGCTAAAACATGTAAAGTATGATTCAACGTTACACAGAGATAACTTGTTAACGAAGGAGAGAAGAGTCGCATGCATTTTACATCAATTTCCTCGTGTTTCTCTTCCTCAAGTCTATTTACGAGAGCTTCAGAGAGACACAGAAGCCCTCAATGGCGAGTCTCTCTGTATCCGTCTTCCTCTCTATCCCAGGGTGCTGGGCAGAATGCACACTGGCAGGAAAACACTGACAATGACGTCTGACACAAGTAAACCTTAATAAAATGAAGGAAATTTGATCTGCAATCCAATGTCTACATTATACTGAAACTGCTTCCTAAAATTACTCATAAATATCTAGTGAGCAATGGGAATTTCAATAAGGGTGTTTCAGCTATTTCTGGAGTGGAGGGGAACATCCCTGGAAATATGAACTATAGAAATAGAGACATTTTAGGAATGATGACATTTATATGGCAAATTATTTTTTAATAGTTGGTGAGAAATGTGGAATAAACCTCTTTCCAATTACTGAAAAATTACTCCAATGCTTTATGAAGGTAAAATTTTATGTAATTAATGTGGCTATGATGAATAGGGCTTTCCTTGGAGTTAGAATAATATCTGGGAGCTAAAACACACAGTAATGTTGTTGTAGTATCATATAAAATGATTTTAACTTATTGTAAAATATTGTACTGGTTGGAAGCGAGAGTGGCATCCACTTGCAAAATAGCTTGCATCCAGAAACCCTATGAACTGGGAGAAACGATGGAAGTTATACAAGTGTTCAGGTCTTTCGCTCAGAGGGTCGCTATGAGTTGCCTACGATTCGACGGCACTTAGCAACAGCATAGAGAGAGATCATTTGGCCTAGTGGACAGAAAGTGATGCTATGAAGCCAAAGGTGGGCGACTTTAATCCGTAGCCCTCAGGCCTGGTTTTTGGTTTTGGGTTTGTTTTTTTTTGTCAAACATTCTTCTAAGTCATATAGCCCTGGTCCATCCACTTGCTGTACAGAGGTAACTGGTGATTGCTGTGAAGCTGAACACTGTGACACTGATGTGTCAAATGCAATAATGATTAACCATGGTGGACAGTGTTTGGTGGAGCTTCCCCATTAAAAGAAGCTTGGAAGCAGGAGTGGCATCCACTTCCAAAATATCTTGCCTCCGGAAACCCTATGAATCTGGAGAAACGATGAAAGTTATACAAGTGTACAGGTCTTTCATTCCTAGGGTCACTATGAGTCACCTACGACTCGATGGCACTTAAGAACAACAACACTGTTGTTATGTGCCATCCAACCAGAACGGATTCACATCTGACCCTCTAGTGGATTCTCATGACAGCAAATCATAAGAGCTGTGATGTTGGCAAAGAGCACTAAACATCCCATGGATTGTCAAAAGAACAAACAAGTATGCCTTGGAGAGGGGCAGTCAGTGCTCTTCGGAGGCAAAGAAGATAAGCTTTGTCTCATACACTTGATGCATGTTGCTAGAAGGGCCTAATCCTTGGAAAGGGACATGATGCTCAGAAAGGTGGAGGGTTGATGAAGGAGAGGAAGACCCTTAACCAGGTGGATTGACATGGTGACTTCTGCAGTGGGGGCTCCAGTGTGTCAGGAAGTGTGAGGATGGCACAGGATAGGACAGGGTTCAGATTTGTTGTTCACAAGGTCACGAGGGGCCATACTTGATGACACCTAACAACAACAACAAATCACAAGGGAAAAGATTGTCTATCTTTCTCCACTAAGCAGTTAGTGGACGCAAACTGCCTACTCTTGAGTTGGCAGCACAACTCCTTACCTACTAGGCTACCAGAGTTACAAGCAATTTTTCAAAATTGGTAATAAGATACAAACACTGATCTGCTTGATGTACTAGATAACAATTTTTTTTTTCATTTTTGTGGACAGAATTAGAGTTATGAGAGGGAAGATATCTAAATAAACATAAATTTAATTGCAGAACATACAGCCATGTTGGAAGAAGGAGTGGCATCCACTTCCTAAACATATGCCTCTGGAAACTATGAACTTTGATAAATATCATTATAAAAATGTATATTCTTAAAAATGGGTAACCCTGGAGGACATTATGCTGAGTGAAATATCTCAGTTACAAAAGGACAAATACTGCACAGTGCCATTTGTTATAAAACAGGACTGACATTGGGGTTGGGGGGAGACTGAGAAAGATGGGATAAATTATTATACTTCATTGAAACAGATGAGGGAGAGAACTGCTTAAAAGGGATATATGATTAGGTATTATTGTCATGACAGGAGTCCAGAACGAAGGCTGCATAGTGGAGTGGACTTGAGGGGAGGGATTGTATCACAATGAAAGGATTTTCCTTTTACTTTTCAAAGAGAAAAGTGAACTGGGGGGGAGGTTGGGCAGGGAGAAAAGTGCAACAATGAATGAATGTAAATCCAAAGTCACTGTAAACTTCCGTTAAAATTAATAATAATGAAAAAAAGAACACCACAAATAGCCATAAGCATCAACATTTTAATTCAGACCATTTAAAGCCATTCTTATTTGGGGGATTTAAAACCCAGCAATAAAGTCTGCATCCTCCACAAAGATAGGAACAGTGGGAGATGCAAAGAGATTTCAACACTCTACCTCTCAGAGTGATATGCATGTGACAGAAACCAGAATGTGAACGAGTTATAGGAGGAAAAGTGAATGTCAAATACTAAGGGCAGCCAAAGATTGGAAATGGTTCACCTTGTCGATAAGAAATGCAGTGAAACCAAAGCTAGTGAAGAGGAAAGCATTTGAGCACAATGAAAAATGGCATGAGGAAAATAAATAGTAAGAGGCCGCAGAAAGGAATAAGCAGTGCTGGTCTCTCTGGGAGTGCAGGATTATAACTTAATGAAACAGTGCAGGGTGAGTGGCTGTCAACAAGAAGAACTAGCCCTTGGGTCTTCCCCAGGATGTACTGGAGGGTGAAATCTCAGTCTATAAAATAAAGACTGCAGACATGGAATGAGAGGAAATGGATCCCATGCACTGCATCTGCCAGGTGCCAGTCAGCGTGGATGAGACTGGAGTCAAGGGCTTGGTACGTTAATGGCACTATTGGAAAACACACTCAAAATTGCCAGAATGGTTCTGTTGTTCTCCCCCAAAAAATAACAAGAATTCCTACACGTGTTGACAATTTTCTCTGTGAACATTTTGTTTTGTTTTGTTTTGTTAGCACACCACTGAGCAGTTCTCAAATTTTCCCTACTCTTCTTTTTCCCTAATAAATACCAAAAAGGCCTCAACTTCCAGTAATATTCCATTTCTTGCCATGTAAAATTTATAACATTTTTTAAAATCTGTTAAGTTGCTTCTTTCATTAAGTGTGAATAATATGAATTACTGTATTTGCTGGCATGAATGCACCTAGAATTAGCATAGTCTGTAAACACTACTAAAGTCTATAGCATCGAATGGATGTCTATAGCCTGTGTACCCCTGCAGTACAATGCCTCTGTATGAACTAATTGTCCAAATCATGGGCAACTGAGAGCAGGGACAAGTTTCCCATAAGTCCCCAACGTGGGCGATCTGAGTTTTCAGAGAAGAACGAGTGCAATTTAGAAATGTATTCAAGCCAGCTTCTCATGGGTAGGGGCTTAGGTCCTAAGGACTAAAATAAAATCTAAAACTCTCAGATCTGAAAAGGACTTCAGAGGCCATTTGATGCAGAAAACAGAAAGGAGACAGACCCTTCACCCCATACCATTTCCCACAAGCTGCATTCACTCACCAATGAGGTAGTCCCTAGCTAACTGCAGGGACCCTGGAGAGAAGAGCTTCAATCCATAGACAACATGGGTAGGAGGGCGCTCAGCCTTGGCCCCTGTGTCAAGAAGCAAAATAAGGCCACACAGCACACAGAAATAGACTGGTCTGCTGTATGTTATGATTTGGTTGTGTCCCTAGAAAACAAACACAGTTTCTGAGTGGTACTTTCTATTTTGATTAAATGGTAAAAACCCCATCATCAATAGCTTATATTATATACAATTTATATTATATCAACTATTTCCCCTTCCTTTACCATAATACATATGCATACATAAAATATCAAATTGGAATAAAAATATCTAAAAGAATGTGTGTCTCTCAAACTCAGCAGGATTGACCAGAAAATTAAATTATCATTCTTGGAGAAAACCTAGATCCAATCTCATGCTTCCCTAACAGTGACATTTACATTCACAGGGTTCATTTCAATGGAAAAATTAATTTCATTGTTTTCTCTGTATGGTCTAACTTAGGCTCTACTATTATTGTTGCTGTTGGTGTTGTGTGTCAGGAGTTGGGACCAACCCATAGCAGACCTTCCGGTGGGTTTTCAGAGGCAGTTAATCACATGGGAGGAGACTTCCCTTCCCCCTTTGTAGCAACTGGTGGATTCAAAACGCATGCCTTTGGGATTGCAGCACAAATTTTCGCCACTAGGCCACCAGAACTCGCTAATATTATTAGCAAGATACAAAACTACAAAGCTGTGGGCTCCAATTTCCTACTATTTTAGAAAGCAAGACAACATGGGAACAGAGTTATACCTGAAGAAAGTGCACAAAATGTTTTTGGTGCAGATAAAGTGGAATAAGTCAGTTATTATTTAAACATCTAAACTTTTGTTTTTTATGCACTACTTTCCTCTGAGGAATATCAAATACCTAACAGAAATCATATTAGCCCTCTCTCTACTGTCAGTAGGAGAAATAAAAATACTTAACCATTTCTCTCTAATTTTTGTAAGAATTGAGGAAACTACAACAGAGAGAGCACTGGTAGCTTGGTGGTAAGGAGTCGTGCTGCACAAAAAAGACAAGTGGTTCAAATCCACCAGCTGTTTCACAGGAGAAAGAAAAACAATTTCTCCCCATGTGACTTACTGTGACCAAAACCTCCTAACGGGTCAGCTATGGGTCAGTTCTGACTCCAGGGTACTTAACAACAACAACAACATATCAACTTCCTAAGAAAAAAATTAACAAAAAATGTTCACCCCCATAAAGTAATCATAGTTCACTGATTTTAAAATAACAACAATAAGGAAAAAAAACCACAACACAAAAATAAGTAATTGAGAAGAAAAAAGGAATTAAGATAGTAAGAAAAAAAGAAAATAAGAAAAATAAGTAATTGCAATTAATGAACTATTTTAGTGTGGAAGGGATTAAAATCTGAATTTTGAACATCACTGTCTTAAACCTGTTATGTTCAGAAATGCAATTTAAACTTCTACTGCTTCTATAACAGAACTATGCTGATTCTGAGACTGTCCTTTAAATGGAGAGGAAAATATGGACTGTCCATGGGCACTGGCTGTGTTTGCCCCAAATCTAGCCTCAGTCCTGAAGGAATGTTTGTCTCTTCAGTGTTTTCCTCTTGAATCCAATGAGGTCATAATGAATGGTATGGAATATTTTCTTCATGTTTGGTGTTTTGGTATTTTCCCCCCAATTAACCTAAAGTCCAATTTCAATATAAATATATTATTTTAATAGTGACATATCTTTCTTTTTTAAATGTTTTTAAATGTTGTCGTTACGTGCCGTCGAGTTGCCTGCAACTTGTAGCGACCCTATGTACAACAGTCCTAAACCCTCCTCTGTCCTATCAAGTACATTGTTTTCAAAATCTGATTCTTTCAATTTCCCTCACTCTCCCATCCATAAAATTGTACAATCCCATGATTAATCTCCCCTCCCCCTGCACATCCTCATCCCTCTACTTCCACCCTCTCCCATCCCTCCTGCATCCCTACTAATTCTAAAATAATGGTTTTATACAATATTTATCCTTGTGGTACTGAGTTAGTTCACTCAGCATAATGCTTTTCAGTCCCTCCCAAGTTAGGTAATAATGTACAAAGTTTTTCTCCTGTGTGCTGCATAGTTTTCCATTGTGTGAATGTTCCATTAGTTTATGTTGGGACATTTGGGCTGTTTCCATGTTCTTATGATGGTGAATAATGCTGCTATGACCATTGGTGTACAAGTCTCACAAGTAGCCTCAGTTCTCATTTTCTCCAAGTAGTGGAATAGCGGGGACAAATGGAATTTCTATGTTCAGCTTTTTGAAGCAGCACCAAACTGCCTTCCAGAATGGTTTTACCATTGTACAATCCCACCAACAATGTACAAAAGTTCCTTTTTCACCACATCCTCTCCAACATTTATTCCTTGTTGTTGTTGTTCAGTGCCATCGAGTTGCAGGCGACTTATAGCGACCCTATGAAGGAGAGTCCCCGATGCTATTTATTCCTTGCTGCCCTGATAAACTTTGCCAGTGTTACTGGAGTTCCAGATGGTACCTCATTGTGGTTTTGATTTGCATCTCTCTTATTGCCATCTTTTTTCTTCTTTTTTATTGGTTTAAAGTTCAATCGAAATTTATTCTTTTTTTATTGGTTTGCTTACAAAGTTTGTGTACATTGTGCTTCACACTATTTTTCATTCAGATTGTGTTTCCTACATGCATTCTCATACATTATGTTTTATAAAATTAATCACATTAGATCTCACTCATCATTACCCTTTTTGCCCAGATCCTTCCCATTTACTTCCCCCAACACTCAGGAGCAACGATTTCGAAAAATACTATGTAACTTGGACAAGGCTAGAGAGTATATTGCTGACTGAACTAACAGTCTCATAAGGACAAATATTGCATAAGACCATTATTGTAAAAATAGAAGGATAAGTAGTAAATACATTCTTATCCACCAAAAAGAAAAACACATTTGTATCGATATAAACAAATATTCAGTGTATGCTCCACAGTCAACACCCTTGGCATCAGTAGCCAGGAAATTAAAAGACATATTGCCATGGGAAAGTCTGCTGTTAGGGACTTCTCCAAAGTACTGAAGAGCAATGGTGTCTCTCTGGAGACTAAGGTGCATCTGATATAGGCCATGGTCTTTGCTATCACTTCTTACGCATCAGAGAGTTGGACAATGACTAAGGCAAATACAAGGATAATTGATGTCTTTGAGCTGTGGTGTTGGAGAAGAGTATTGAGGGTACCATGGACTGCTAGGGAAACAAACAGACTCATCCTAGAGAGGGTTAAACCAGGTAGCTCCTTGGAGGCAAGGATTCTGAGGCTCCATCTAACATATTTTGGACATGCTGTAGGGAGGAATGGTTCCTTGGAGAGGGACATCATGCTTGGTAGGGTGGAGGGACAGCGCAGGGGGGAAGGCCCTCTGTGAGGTGGATTGATTCAGTGACTGGGGTGATTGGGATGGGAGTGGCAGAGACAGTGCGATTGACACAGGACAGAGCAGAGTTTAGGGCTGTTGTACATAGGGTCACTATGAGTCACAAGTGACTTGACGGCACGTAACAACAACAACAACAAATGTATATTGCTGTTGTTGATTGCCATTGAGTCAATGATAACTCACAGTGACTCTATGAACAAATGACCTGAAGTCTTTCTATAACTATCATCATTTCTCCAAGTTCATAGGGTTTCCATGGGCATGTGGTTTAGGAAGTGGATGGGACTCCTGCTTCCAAACCTGTCTTAAACTGGGATCTCTGCCAAACACTGTCCACAGTGGGCAACCATTATGGTATTTAACACCCAAAAAGCACAAGGCTCAGCATCATAACAAACCAAGATTAGGTCAGTATGGCAAACTGACAGAAGAGAGCTGTATGATTTAGAAGTATGTTCCGCCAAAACATAACAACACTAAGCTCTCAGGCCACAGGCCCAACTAAAATTAACAACGAAGGAACATGTGCATATAAGATTATTTTCTCAAAATTACATCTTTTAGAATATGCAATTACTCCATTTTCCCTTGCCTTGTATCTTTCTTAAGATAAAATATTAAGAATACATTAAGAATTGGAAGTCTTTGGTTCTCAGCAAGTTTGCTACCCATTTTGGATCTTGAGAGGGTGCTCTATTGGCCTAGTGGATAGAAAGATATGCTACCAAGCCAAAGGTGGGTGATTTTAATCTGCGGCCCTCAGGCATGGTTTTAATTCTTTTTGGTGAATCATTCTTGTAAGTGGTATAGCACTGCTCTGTCCATTTGCTGTACAGAGGTAACTCGTGGGTGCTCTAATACTAAACACTGTGACACTGATGTGTCAAATGCAATAATGATTACTCCTGGTGGACAGCGTTTGGTGGAACTTCCTGATTAAAACAAGCCTGGAAGCAAGAGTGGCATCTACGTCTGAAATAGCTTGCCTCGAGAAACTCTATGAACTTGGAGAAACAATGAAAGTTATACAGGGGTTAGGATCTTTTGTTCATAGGGTCACTATGGGTCATCTACGACTTGACAGCACTTAACAACAACAACAACAAATTTTAGTTACTGGGCATAAAAACACTTTCCTTGTATTTGTAATTTAGAAAAACTCGGGCTCATAAAGAGCCCACTCTCATTATCATGCTCATGTTTTATCAGGTTTTCTTATGCTGCACTTTGGGTCTCCAAGCCATTCTAAGCATATCATTGCTATTGTTGTTGTTGTTTGGAGCCTCTGAATTGACTATAGCTCACAGTGACCCTATGAACAGCAGATCTGAAGCCTGCACTATCCTGTGCCATCCTCACCTGTCATACTAGAGCAAGGTTACAATCACTGTGTCGCTACGTCTTGTTGAGGGTCTTCTCTTTCTCTGACCCTCCACCGTTCCCAGCATGATGTCTTTTTCCAAGGACTAGCCCCTCCCAACAGTATGCCCAAAGTATGTGAGACAGAATTCCATCATCTTGCCTCTAAGGAGTACCCTGGTCGTACCTCCTTCATCAAAGACTTTTGGCAGTCTGTGGGATTTTTTTAAAAAATAAGACAATGAAGCAAAGCTGCTCTCAAGTCAATCCTGACCAATGATGACCCTGCAGCTAATAGAGGACCACTGGTCCACTGGGTTTCGTGGGGTTTTT